ATTAGAGAGACAAGCTCGGCCCGCTCTGACTCATACGGCCCAGCCTTGAATCCAACGGGTCGAGTCACGGGCCTAAACCGGCTTGCCATGCCTAAGCAGATTGAAGCCAGTTACCATATTTCATTTGTGAGTCGCAATAATTTGCAACCAAAATGCAACAACTATGGGGGACAAAGAAAGCTACTACTTTTATCCATACTATACCACACGCCATCTTAGGATTGTGATGGGATATATGTAAGATATAATTTATGCCACTGCCAACCAACTAAAAGAGCTGAGTAAGGTTAATTAGTAGCTAGAAAAACAACTTGGTTGATGGAAAAAAGTATGTTTTAATTATGTGGCATTCCCTTAGAGGAGATTTTTAAACCTAAAGCTTCTTTATGATTGTGCAAGAAACCTACTTAATTAGGACAGATAATAATGAATGAAAGACAAATAAGTTTACAATATGTAACCCTCAAGTCACTACTCGCACTTCATAGTTTTCTACTACTACTAATCACCATGTATTTAGCTAATTAATTGTAATCTTCTCTTTTGCCTTTAAATTAAGAGGACCACAATGCAAACTAAAGGCCAAGGTAAACACCCAAGCTTCTCTCTAGAGAGAATATGACTTCCTTCACTTTCTCTTGCTTACAAACCAAATCTCACGTTGAGCTCTCCACCAAAACCTTGGCGTTTGATGTGGAGGGAGGCCTCTTAAAACATTCGTCTACCTTCCCCTACTTCATGCTCGTGGCGTTAGAAGGAGGAGGGTTTTTTAGAGGGCTACTCCTTTTACTCGTATATCCGTTGCTTCGCTGTTTAAGCGAAGAGATGGGGATTAGGATCATGGTTATGGTGTCCTTCTGTGGACTGAAGAAGGAAAGTTTCGTAGTAGGGAGGGTTGTCTTGCCTAAGTTTTTACTGGAAGGTGTAGGGTTCGAAGGGTTTGAGGTGATGAGGAGGAGTAAGAGGAGGGTTTGCGTGAGTAGGATGCCGAGGGCGATGGTCGAGTGCTTCTTGAAGGAATACTTGGAGGTGGAGGTGGTGGTCGGGAGAGAGCTGAGGGTGTTTCGTGGCTTTTACACTGGCTTCATGGAGGAAGAAGGGGAGTACTTTGTGGAGGAACAAGAGAGCGTCGGTTATATTGGGGTGTTGAGCTCCGCAAATAAATCTATTGAAGCACCTGCAGTCTTCTCTCATTGCAAGGTTTCTCTCCTCTTAACAAATATTAATGTCTCATCTACAGGTCTACCAAGGTGAAGGTCAAAATATATTATATAAGAGTTGTTCTACAGGGACCCCAACTCATGGGACCCAAGGGGGGACAGGTGAGGTGTCAACCCCTGGGTGCATGATCTACTGTTCATGAACAGTAGACCATGCACCCAGGGTTGACACCTCACTTGTCCCCCCTTGGGTCCCATGATTTGGGGTCCCCAGGGAATTTTTCATTATATAATGGATGGATCTGGAATCCTTCCATTGAGAAATAAAGAATGAACATTAATGTTGTACTTGATATTTCGTAGCAAAATATACTTACATGGGACCTCTCCAACAGTACTTAATTAATCGTTAGACAGCCTTTTTTTTTTTTTTTGCATTAGGGACCTCTCCAACAGTACTTAATTAATCGTTAGACAGCCTTTTTTTTTTTTTTTGCATTAGTTCAAGAATAGACGTTTTTAATTTTATGTACCAAAGCACAAGGTAATCTCTCTAGCGCCCCCTCTTTTAGCATTCCTAATTAACCTTATATATATCTATGAAATCATATGAAATTATCATTCCACGTTTTTCTAACCAGCTGACGCTATTTTTTCCCACCTCCTCCTGATCCAGGAACTCTACACGGTAACTGAAGAAGAAAAAAGAAAATGGCGCCTTTTACCAAGACAAAAATACCCCAAACCCCTCATCTTTCATGACGGCAGGATTGCATTCAGACCAACCCCCCTCAGCACTATCTCGATGTTCATTTGGCTCCCGTTTGGGCTCATCCTATCCATCTTTAGGCTCGCTACGTGCCTAACTCTCCCCTTCAACATCTCCACACCTATCCTAGCCTTAACCTCGACGAAATGGAGGCTCAAAGGATCAATACCACATTCCCTCACCTCCGAGGCCCACTTGCTCGCTTGCAACCATAAAACACTAATCGATCCCGTGTACATCGCCATCGCCCTCAACAGACCCGTGACCACCGTCACGTACAGCCTGAGCAGGGTGTCGGAACTCATATCCCCGATCAGGACGGTCAAGCTGACCAGGGACCGGGAAGCAGACGCGAAGTCGATCGAAAGGATGCTGGTGCGGGGGCAAAACCTTGTGGTGTGCCCGGAGGGGACGACCTGCAGGGAGCCGTACCTTCTCCGGTTCAGCCCGCTTTTCACCGAGCAAGCTGATGAGGTAGTCCCGGTCGCAGTGGACGTCAGGGTCAGCATGTTCTATGCTACTACGGCTAGAGGGTTCAAAGGGTTCGACGCGTTCTATTACTTGATGAACCCTAGTACGTGCTACGAGGTGGAGTTTTTGGACGCGGTCGACACGAGCTGCGTCAGGGTTGGGGAGGGGAGTAGCATTGAGATGGCCAACTTGGTTCAAGGGGTGATAGGGGGGGCTTTGGGATTTGAGTGCACTAGGCTCACCAGGAGAGATAAGTACATGATGCTCGCGGGGAGTAATGGGATGGTTGGATCAAAATTGAGGAGAGAAGGAGAAGGTAAAGAAAAGTTATGAAAGAGAAGAGAATGGTCTGCATGTGTTGAACTAGATTGTGCATGGCAAGTCATGTATTGTTCCTAGTCTGTATTGTTCATGTTCAATCTGCTGCAGGTTGAAGCCAGTTACCACATTTCGTATGAAAGAGAAATTAATTAAGTTTGTTCGAATGAGATTGCATGCAGAGTAAATATTTATAGTATGCTTTCTAATTAAGAAAGCAGGGGAAGTAAAGTGTCATATGATGTTTCATTTTTATAATTATTAGCAGCTTATTTCTTTACTTTGGAATTGTTTTGTACTTTTTTTCCCTTCTACTATTATCTGTGTATGTAATGTTTGGTTCTGGTGTTTGCTTATTTTTCTAAACCTAAAAATGGACGAGAGGCTGGCGTAAAGAAACAAAGGTAAGCGATTATTTCGGTAAAGTTATAGAGCATGCCAAAGCGTTTGTAGTCCAACGGTTAGGATAATTGCCTTCCAAGCAATAGACCCGGGTTCGACTCCCGGCAAACGCATAAAAGTTTTTTTTTTTAATCATCAATTCAAACCATGCCAAAAAAGTGCTGGCTAGATCAATGAGCCTTTTTTCTTTCTTTCTTTCTTTTGTGTGTGGGTGGGTGG